TTATTTTTTCTTGGAACTTAAAATGTATAAAGTGTAAAAGTGTTGTTTCTCAATCACAAAATAATTATAAATGTTTTACATTACACACTTGGAAACCATATTCGAATCTATTTTTAACAATTTTATTTATGTTTATAAAATATGTATCTTAAGTCACTGTAGTTTCAACTCGGAAAGATACTTTGAATTTACTATTTAAAAATATTTCTATATCACTATTATTTGGCTGTCGTATTATAACCTCTTTTGAGAAAATTATATAAATGCATCTATTATATACAGTTATAAGGTAATATATGTTTTATATCACGTTATAATGGTCAGTTGGAGTAACTAAACTAAACTAGGTGATATATATATATATGTATCGTGTATTTAAATATTGCTACTGGGGAGCATATATAAAAAGAGATATGTCCGCGAACTTACATCGCTAGAATCCGGGTTTCGATACCCGTGGCGGGTAGAGCACAGATAGTCCATTGTGTAGCTTTGTGCTTAATTACAAACAAACAAACAATTTAAATATTATTGTGTGCATACAAATATTTGCATCCCAATCTCCATGTTTCATACTTTTTACAAAATTTTGTAACAATAATATACAATTATATATGCATATACAGTATTGGAAATAATTATTGAAACGCCTAGGTAATATACACATACATGATCAGTTTATCATTCCTGTAATATAATAGTAGAGAAAATAAGAATGAAAAGCGAACATACTGCACAATTCTCTAGTACTTTGTATTTTCTTTAACAGAGCAGTACACTTTGCTTTTGTGTAACCATAAACTTATCAACGTATGATTCTGAAATATAGTTCCAAATGCCCTGTATTACTTTGACCTTTTCAGACTTCATATAACCTCATACAGCCTTAATGATATTTATATGGAACTTTACGCAGACCAAGCCATGGTTGCGATCGTTTTATCTCCTTTTTTTTTCCTTCTGGGCATAGTGTCACCACATTTTCTACATGCTTGAGATCTCTATCTTGCCATAAAATGAATCTCTATCTAAAAGGCTTCATGTTTGAGCTAATAGCATAATGGATAAGAATCTGCTTTTATCTGTAAGCATGCATGGTGCCATAAATCTTGTGTAAATCTCCAACATTACTGACTGAGATGCGGCTCACATTTGTACTGGTCCCCCCCCCCCCCAACTGTTTCCTGTAGACATAGAACGTCGACTCTGTTACAGTTCTCCTCTCTGACATTGAGAAACCTGTGGTTGATTGTTGCCAAACATTTTGAATTCGTCTGTAAATAGTTCCTCCCTCCAGCTTTTTTATCCACTTTGTCGAAGCCTGATACTCATTTCAATATCTTTTAGTTTGGTTTTATCTCCAAAACAGTGTTTTTGAGACCATTGAAACCACTTCGTGTTAATATGTTTTACACTTTGACTTTGATAAATTCTTTAGTACATTGTCATGTGTCATAAAGAATATGCTTAGAATTACTGAATATCACTTTTCAATAGTTTGGGCTTTTTACCTCAACTACTCCTGCTATCAACAGTACCAGGTACATGTACCCTCTTCTGAGTTTCTATACAGCTTCTACTGAAATATCAAATTCCGTTTTAATCTATCGCATAGCGAAGAGTTTGATTTCTACACGTATTTCATGTGGCAATACTGTCTTGAGACCCATGAGTGCAATCAACATACTATTGCTGGGAAGAGTACGACCGTCTGTATTTTTGTAGGTATTGTGCTGGTATCTTTCTATCCTATTGTTTTGGTGAAAGCCAATCACAATGTAAACTATCAACACATGACTTTCTTTGCTGCATTTTATCTTCATATAATAGAGAAAGTACAATCCCATAATATTTGCTTTTTTTTTTTTGGCATTTTATTCAGTGTTTCCATTTCCAATACTGTGTATTTAATAATGGCTCCAACACAATAATTTTGTAATATTTGCTTCGTTGTGAACAAATATTCTACAAAATTGAGCATTTATTTAGAGCTCTACGTCTATAAATTCCATTAAATGTAATATGCTGTCTAGAACTCTGATAGTTTCTTTATTTGCTACGTATACAAGCGTAGAAAAGTGTGGATCTTTTCTGATTAGGATTTCACATGGATACATAAACAAGTCTAGGTGAAAAGAAAAAAAAAAGATTATCAGATAGGCTGAATTATAAACTACAGTTCGATCAATCGTTTTAAGTTTTTATATTGCTACCAATCTAACCAATTAAGGGAAGGATTTGTCACAAATAAAATTGTAATATGGTGACATAATTTGTTTTAATGAACTAGTATACATATAGCAAAATCTTGTAAAAACAATTTAAAGTTGGTTACAGAAATTGAAATAAAGCTACAGAAGAATTATATGAGTTAGTTATCATTAATTTTGAACTGATAAACTAGAGAGGAACGGCTAGTCAGTAGAACCCACTCCCAACTTCTGGGCTACTTTAATCGATTTGATTAAACGGTTTGTTTTGTTTGGAATTATGCACAAAGCTACACAATGGGCTATCTGTGCTCTGCCCACCATGGGTATCGAAACCCGGATTCTAGGGTTATAACTCCGCAGACATACCGCCGCACCACTGGGGGGGGGGGGAGCTTCTAACGGACCCGTGGCCCTAAAGTACAGAGCGCGTTTTGATGTTAACAGGATACAAGCTTTGGACTCTCAGATTCACAGTCTGACACGTTAACCACCAGGCCAAGTCTGGTCAGATTCGTGAAAGAAGATATTTTGTGTTTAGAACCTATATTATTACAATATTGTTGAAGAAAATAGGTACTGATTGAATTAATGCCCATATTTTAGCTTTCGTGAAAGAAGATATTTTGTGTTTAGAACCTATATTATTACAATATTGTTGAAGAAAATAGGTACTGATTGAATTAATGCCTATATTTTAGCTTCGTGAAAGAAGATATTTTGTGTTTAGAGCCTATATTATTACGATATTGTTGAAGAAATAGGTACTGATTGAATTAATGCCTATATTTTAGCTTCGTGAAAGAAGATATTTTGTGTTTAGAACTTATATTATTATTACAATATTGTTGAAGAAAATAGGTACTGATTGAATCAATGCCTATATTTTAGCTTCGTGAAAGAAGATATTTTGTGTTTAGAACCTATATTATTACAATATTGTTGAAGAAAATAGGTACTGATTGAATTTAATGCTTATATTTTAGCATAAGAACTAGCCACTGGAATCTGAGATTATGCGTGGACTATTTGTGTTGAATAACATCAGAGAAATAAAGATCCAATAAGAAAAGAGAGATATGAACAGACATGAAGAAAGACTGTGAAGTTGTATACTTATATAAATGTATATGTTATAAGAACTACAATGTGATCAATTAAATTAAAATAGTTTTTAAATCACGCCTAAAGTACAAATATAAAATTCTTTCATAATTTCTCTGTTTCATTTGCTGTACTAAATAACTTTATATGACAGTGGATAAGATAGACCATTCACTTATAAGTGTTTTAGTGCATCGTAGCCTCACACACTTGCATCAGAAAGCCACCTATAAATAAAACATTGAACTAATTATTTCTCAATCACAAAGAAAAAACAACAAGACACTTCTGTTTTTATGTCAGAGTAAAGAAGTTTGAGCAGTTAAACGCTTTAAGATCTTTTAACTTTTTTTTTTATTTTTGAAGGTTGTTTAATAATTACAAGTAAATTATATCAGTATACAATGGAAGCTTAGTATTTTGTATAAAAATACAAACGTGTGTCTACATAGCTAAGTTGCACATACAAGTGAAAGTATAAGTAAAGTTTATGTAAAATGGACAGGAATTAGAAAAGAACACACTGTAAGTCTTGAACAATAGCGTTTAAAAACAGACAAAGAAAAAAATACTTCGGGAGGTACATTTTTAATTATGCCAGAAGTTTAAACCTTGCATTAAAATAGATGAAAACGCGCGATAATAAGGATTTCTTATGTAATTTATTTTGAGTGTTATCTACAAAGAAATAAAAATGATGAAAAGGTAAATAACAAAATATGAAAATTAAGAATAACACTTAACATATTCAATATTGATTAGCATGTACTATGAATGCAACATCAAACTTTATTTATATGTGTTTAAAAATAGTAGTTTCAATTCAATTGTGTTAGAAAAAACACATTGACAATTTTTATATTTTTCAATATTTATTTTAGAATAGACTCGACCAAAAGAGGTATTCCTTTCCAGTAATTGAAAATTGCTGATTGAAATATAAGTAATTTAGCAAATAACCAAAAAAACAACTACTTTTTAACATTTCTAGAGCGATGGCTTGGAAAGCTAAATACGGCAATTATCTACGAAAGCCAGCTACAGTGATTTAAACTTTAAAAGTTTCTCTTAAGTTGTTTTTGCTTTTATTTGCTATTAAGAGTTTGCGATCCTGTATACTTTTCGATAAGTCAACGTCTTTCCCGAGATGTAACATTTTTTATAACATAATTAACCCTACATGAAACTATACTTTTTTTTCATGCTTGATTTATTTTGATTATAGACAATTATTTTAGAAATATGTCAAATGTTTAAATAAGAAAACATACTTAGGAAGCCTTCAGTATTTAATCTTGTTTTTTTATTCATTATAATGACTGACGTATACTGCCAATTAGTGTATGTAAATAATAAGACTTTTACTGTAAAATATTTTATTTACATTACAGGTTATATATTTTTTAAACATGCACCCCTTTTCAGAAGTACTACTTACAGAAGCGAACAAAAGATGTCGCTTATTTTTGTACTAACAGAGCTCTAGAAGACTGTGCACTGTTGTATCATTAGATCACTAAAAGTAAATATAAAACCATTTACCCAGAAACTTTTGATTGTTTGTTTGAAATTAAGCACAAAGCTGCACAATGGGCTATCTGTGCTCTGCCCACCACGAGTATCGAAACCCGGTTTCTAGCGTTGTAAGTCCGTAGACATGCCGCTGTGCCACTGGGGGGCACCCAGAAACTGATTCACTTTAACAAAACCGAAAATGAAAACCACATGTTTCTTTTAAAAAATGCTGAATATTCATTGTCGTATAGTTAGAATGTTTTCACTATACTTCTCTGGATCTATGCTATATTAAAACGTGATTACTGTTTTTAAATTTGGACACATCCAAGAAAGTGAATGGAACTTATTTCGACCTTCATTTTATTGATATTTTAGCAAAGGACTTATTTTTGAACTTTTGTTTTGTTTCCGTTTGTTTGAGACAAAAATCTCCCATATTTATTTATAACTATTAAACGCTTTAGGTTTGAATAAACACTTTCAGTGTAATCTCATATTGGAAACAAAATTAATGCAACAACTATTATTCAGACTAATCTTCCTCCTCCTGAGAATCAGTCCCTCTTTTGTTCTGACACTGAAAAAGAACGAATTTGAAATAAATTGAAAACAATTGGTGATGTTAAGAAGAGTTATGTTCTCCAAAATGTTAATTACAATTTATTGGCAGTACTTCAATAATGACACATAAGTCAGGAAAATGACAAAACACATAAGAGAGCACACAGTAGTATTACCTCATGCTAGATCTATTTAAACGCTTTATTTCCATAAAGCGTTCTAGTTTATTCTAATGGAAGTATTTCTGCCGTGATAACATTTCCAAATATTTTGTAAAGGCGTTCAAACACCACAAGAAAGCAATAGCTGCAGCAGAAAAACAAAACAACATTACAAACGTATCTGAATTCAAAGAAAACAATAGTTTTACTTTTTTCTTCCCATTTGATATCCGCTTACATCATCCACGTACCAAGAACTATCTTAAAAGTTTTGATTATCGTGCCAAGGATTAAATTGTGAGTACAATACAATATGTTAAAACTTGAATTTTCTCATAAACGTTACTCTGATGAAATTTTAGCTCTATAGGAGGACAAACCACAGCATATAATATTTCGTACTTCGCGCATAAATTCCAAGATGACAGGATCCTGCAAAGAAAGAAAAATACCGAATTAAAACAATATCAAACATGAAATAATTTAGAACATAAGAAATATTATATATGTAAGTAACAAACATATATATATATATATACTTTTATTCTAAGTGTAGATGTAGTAGACAGTAATATTACGTTATTTCCAAGTAGTTAGAAAAGCTTTCTAAATGAAACATTAATATTTTGCATTATAAGTAAGCCACTTACGTTTTAATGAAACAGATGGAAATATTTTACGCCTATTTACTATTTGCAGTAAAATTTCCTTTAAAATCTGAATTTCTTCGAAACGCTGATACCAGAGAACCCAATTTGAAAATTTGATAAAAAAAGCAATCGAATTGTTTGATTTGTCGCTGTCATGGTTAGTAGACAGAGAGAATTATTTCATAATACAGATAAAAAAAAATTTAAATTGATGGAACTTGAATCAAACACAAGAAAAATAAAGGCAAAAGAGCCTTTCTACATTCGGTTAGCTTAAAACACAGTTACTCTCTTAATCTTAAAAAATATGGCTGGACATACATCTTGCAGTGTTCGTGCACTTAGATACAACACCTTATTCTTTCAAACTAGAGCACTTAAGTCTAAATCAGCTACATAGAAACTATCATTCTCCGGACTCCCATGACGTCACGGCCAAAGAATTAAAAACCCAAACGTAAGGCATTAATAAGTTTGTAATTAGAAATAAATACGAAATTAGAATGGTGATTCCTCAGACAACTAACTGTTACCACAATAGGATTTTGATCACCGCAGCTTTACTGTGTCACCCAATTTCGAAAGAAATCAAAGAGACTTTATACCAAAACAGCGACGATAAGTTTTATTTTATAAATATTAATAAGTACATTACTTAAATATATTGTTAAACAGCTAAACAAATGATACGATTTTATTTATTAGTTTACCCGTGGTAGAAAAAGATATTGACTGCTAGAGCTAATATCTAACACGTAACCAGCAGATATTGTAAGCAATTACATATAAATTCTAACATATCATGATTTGGAAAGATCAATCCTATCATATACAAGACATTGCTTAATTGAGTTGTAATTTTAAAATGGCACTGAAGGCACCTTAAAACACAAAATTCCCCAAAAGTAACAAGTGCAAACAAGTTAGCACTTAATTATTTTACAAGGTATTGTGTATCATGCTTCATAGACTCGAAATGCATGACAAATACACGTCCAGGGTCGGGACAGTGGGAAGTTTAAGCAGCTTACAACGCTAAAAAATCCGGGATTCGATTCCCGACGGTCAATACAGCAGATAGCCCCATTTAGTTTTACTCTAAAACAAATACATTGTTTTAAAAAATATTAAATGCTCGGAAAGACAACTTGAAAATAGCTCAAGGAGTAATTCTATATTAATGTAGCAAGTACTTAGAGTTTATAATTGCTTAAACAGAAATTATATTATCATATGAAAATCATTCAATCGAAATGCTCACCTTAATAGTAGATCCCTCCCTTCTGAGAGCAATAAAGACCAGTAAAGTAGAATGACTTTTATTAAAAGAGTAGCAATAAAAGCAACGTTTCAAATCATAAAGAATTGTATGTATATAAAGCTGTTTGTAATAAAAACACACACACCGATCTGTCAAAAGTAAGGTAATCTTGGACTATCAGTTTGACACTTCTCAATAATTATTTTAATGTTCCCGATATGATGCTAATCGTGTGTAATAGAATAGTTATAAAAATAGTACATAAAACCTATAAGACAAAAGAGGCACTGAACCTGAAGATAGTAACATAATAAGCGGGATCTGTTTGTGTGCTAAGATACACGAGAAGTGACCAAATATTTTTCATATTTTTTCTGTTATAAATTCATGCATGCCTGAACTACATTAATTATTTTATCATTTTCGTTTAAAATAGCTTAATATAAATGTATACATTTGTAACTTGAATTGTCATACACTATAGCAAGTAAAAAGTAGCCTGCTCTCCAGAAATGGAGCACTTAATGGAGCGTTATAATGTGACGGTGAATCCCACTATTCTTATCTTGTAACGTTTTACATAATGATGCTTTCAAAAATTGAGCCTGGCATGGCCTGGTGGTTAGGGCGGTCGACTCCAAACCTGAGGATCGGGGTTCGAATCCCCGTCACCGAACATGCTTGCCCTTTCAGCCGCGAGTGCGTTATAATGTGACGGTGAATCCCATTATTCTTTGGTAAAAGAGTTGGCGGTGAGTGGTGTTGACTAGCTGCCTTTTCTCTAGTCTATTACTGTTAAATTGGGGATGGTTAACACAGATAGCCCTGTAGCTTTGCGCGAATTTCAAAACAAACCAAACGAACTTTTCAAAAATGAAATACATACAGGAGATATATTCGGTCATGTTTCTGCAGATATAAGCAACAAGAAGTTACATTCCCATAGGTATAAATGGCATAAAATCTTATAATAATTATTGATGTTCTCAGGAATGTATATGAATCCATATAAAAGTGGTGGTTCATGAAGAAATTTGTTCATCTTTTCTCTGCGTTTCCGAGTTTTTCTTTTTTAGGCTGCGAATGTATATAGTGAAGGACCCTTCTAATAAACCCATAGGCAGAACGTTGTGTATCGGAGGGAATATCTATCAGTTTGTAAGTATAATTTATAATTTCAGAATAACAACGTTTGAAAGTAGCATCCAGTTTCAGCTCTAACCTAGGCATTCCTAAACTTCCTCAACTCACGATCCACCTGAGTAGCCAGGCAGTTTTATGAGACCCATGCTTAATTGGGGTAGTGTGTGTTACTATTCCGATATATTTCATTATTTATTTTTGTTTTTTTCGTTCACGAACATTTAAGGTCCATTAGTCTTTAAATAATGTAAATATCTACAATTTACTGTGTCTTGTTCTGCGAGTTATCCCAACAGCCCTTGTGACCCATAATTTGTTGTTTTGTGAGTTATCCCAACAACCCTTGTGACCCATAATTTGTTGTTCTGTGAGTTATCCCAACAACCTTTGTGACCCACAATTTGTTGTTCTGCGAGTTATCCCAACAACTCTTGTGACCCACAATTTACTGTTCTGCGAGTTATCCCAACAACCCTTGTGACCCACAATGTGTTGTTCTGCGAGTTATCCCAAAAACTCTTGTGACCCACAATATGTTGTTCTGCGAGTTACCCAACAACCCTTGTGACCCACAATGTGTTGTCCTGCGAGTTATCCCAACAACCCTTGTGACCACAATTTGTTGTTCTGCGAGTTATCCCAACAACCCTTGTGACCCACAATTTGTTGTACTGCGAGTTATCCCAACAACCCTTGTTGACCCACAATTTGTTGTTCTGCGAGTTATCCCAACAACCCTTGTGACCCACAATTTGGGAACCTTTCTACTTATTTTTAACATTCACCATCGAACGTTTCTTCTAGCTAAGCCTGAACCGAGCCGTGTATGTCCCAAGGGTTAACGTGCCGAACTATGCTTTACAAGGATGACGGTCAGGTCCCACTATTCCATCATAAAGAGTAGTCTAGGATTTGGAGTTGGGTGTTATCAACAAGCTGTTTTCTCTTTAGTCTATCAGTCCAAAACTAGGGACGACTAGCGCGTAGAAACTGTAGAGATTCGCTACACACTGTTTACTTAGAATATTTGGACTAACTTCAAACAGAAATCACTGAAGTTCCTGCTCTTGAACAAAAATTTTAACTTTGTACTAAAGTTAAATACGAACATTCCAGAAAAATCGTAAATATATATCATAAACTTCATACTGTACAAGAAACTTTGGAAACGAAGTCAATCAATTAAGAAGCATACCTTACATAATTTGCTAAATATAAATGAAACGCCCAATCTTTTATGTGATTCACCACCTGCTACTACGTTTAACTAGTTTATTATATGAGTCACCACCTGCTACTACGTTTAACTAGTTTATTATATGAGTCACCACCTGCTACTACGTTTAACTAGTTTATTATATGATTCACCACCTGCTACTACGTTTAACTAGTTTATTATATGAGTCACCACCTGCTACTACGTTTAACTAGTTTAAGGAAAATCCACCCCTCATCAGTCATATTATTCCGATTTGACCTTGCACAGGGTTACTGAAGAGGGTTGGAATTTTGTGATTAACGAGTGGTGAATGGAATGAAAGATTGGGTTTCATATTCATTTTTTAGTATTTAAACAAACACCCGCTGTATAATGCAAAAGAGTAAATTAGTAGCATCAACGTTACATATTTTTAAAATTCTATATGAATATAGTCATTGTGTTGCGGAAACATCATGTATATATAACATCATACACATTTTGTGTCTTTACTTTTAACTACTTTGTGTTTTCTGTTAGAGGTAACGCGACATTAATGCGATTTTTTAGAAATAAATAATGTGTTTTATTGTACCTTTATTTCAGTTTACTCAATTAGGTATACAAACGCAAAACTTACTCTTTCGTTCTTAGACAATCTTTTAGTTTTCCAAATAAATTCAATAACAGAAATTATACAGGCAAATCCAAGTCCAGCAAGAAGGACGACAAACATTCCTCCTACGTTGGCTAGATCAAGTTCACTGGTGGAGATACTAGTCTTTTTTTCTTCTTGTCCACAGCGTTCTTCTTTGTTGCTAGACCACCATTTTTCTTTCAGTAAGTGTAAAATTCCATCCTCCTGCAAGCGTAGAATAGCGTTGGAAATTGGAGTTCGATATGGTGATCCTGAAATAGGTTTCACAAACTGATATTAAAAGCTTTGAAAAAAAAAAGTGATTTCAAAAAATATAAGAACAAGTTGGAATTTTAAGAATAACTGTCAAAAATAGTAGACATCTTCTTTGTTCCTATTTTTAGAAAAGCATTGTAAGCCTAAAATGTCATTTTTCATTAATGGCGTGGCATGGCCAGGTGGTTGAAGAGCTTGACTTGCAATCTGAGGGTCGCGAGTTCGAATCCTCGTCCAACAAACATGCTCGCCCTTTCAGCCGTAGGAACGTTATAATGTGACGCTCAATCCCACTATTCGTTGTCAAAAGAGTAGCCCAAGAGTTGGCGGTGGGTGGTGATGACTAGCTGCCTTCCCTCTATACTTTCGCTGCTAAATTAGAGATGGCTAGCGCAGATAGCCCTCGTGTAACGTTGCGCGAAATTCAAACCAAACCCTTTTTTACGACTGATCTGAAAATGATCTAAATAGAGATAAATATATCAACTGTATTCCAACACAATAAACGCTTTAGTAACGAAAAATTTAGGT